AAAGCCAGGATAAGCAGGAGGAGAAAGAATTCCGATGCTATTATGAATGACAATCTTGTTATCATGGGTCCTCTCTTGGTGTGTGCCAGTCCACCCTTTAAGTTTGCACCGGTGCAGCACCGTTTTTCATTTACTCTGTATCATTGTGTGGGTGCGTACGTATATTTGCAAAATAAACATTGAATTGTCTCTGTTGGTTGGGGTGTGCTAAGCTGCAGCCGTGTTACATAAACAAATCGGCATGCGAGCACCATGCCTGCATATGCGGAATGCATGTGAACAGCTGCATGGCGACTACGACAAATGGGTAAATATATTAAGGGGAAATATTTCAACATTTTTTGGGGGAATTTGCAAATGGGCTTGCAATTAGCAGCAATGTATTTTACAACTACTAAGAACTTTCCATATTTTGAGCAGTTTACGGGGGTTTGCTCATTGAGAACAGTAGACGTTTTAAGGCCAAATAGTTGAAGCTAGCGAATTATTGCTTCTGTCTACCACTGCACAGAGTACCGCTTGGCTGCTATCATGGCTGGTACGTGAGTGAGATTTTTCACATGATAATCTTTAAACGCATTTAAAGGTGTTTTACCATAGAAGCAAACAGAACTGGTCAAAAAGTACTTCAAAGATGAACACAATGGGTGCAGTTCATTGTGTAATAACAAGTGCCCACGCAGTCCCACAGAAAGCGTTTATGTGCTGTACACGTGTAAAATTACACAGCGGACCCGCAGGAATCAATAGAGGCCTCATAACAGCAATTCTGCTAAACGTGTTGTTAGCAGCCAGTCTGACAAAAACCATGACGTGCTAGAGGAGAGATTTACTTTTTGATACAAGTCCAAGAGTGTGTGCGGGTGTGGAAAGTAGTGTGCACTCTCAGACACAGAGACGGATATAGGCGGAGATGGGCAGGCAGCCAAGCAACATCGTGAAAAATAGGATTTGGACAGAAGGAGAGCAAGCAACGGAGGGGAAGGAGAATGAGAGAGGGAGGTAAATAAAGGTGGTGGTGGGTATGTATGTCTTACACTGCGTGACTTAATGCAGCACAACACAATTCAGCGTGGAGGGAATGAACAAGTAAAGATATGCGAAGCAAGGCAGCATTGTCTTGATGGTGTAGTGGTTAGGATATTCAACTCTTACCAGGGTGGTACGGCTTTAGCTGTTGGTTATGAAGCTTTCCTTAGCTCCTCACACGTCTCATCGCTACTAGTGGCGCTTCTACGTGTCTACATGGCTGTCCTACTTAGCTTACCCGTCGACTAGCTAGATGGC